AATTATTTTCAATAACATATCTGAGTATTAGTTTATTTTCTTCAAGTTGTAGTTTTCTCATACCCGAAATTTTGGGCATTATTTCTTTAGTTTGGAAAAACAAATCCGGGTGGGATATTTTAATATAATTTTTAAGGTTGGCTAAAATATATTAAAAATAGATTTTACAAATATATGATACTTGTACGTATGGATACTGTAGATTTTCTCGCAAACACGCGTTTGAGCCTAGATTTATTAGGGGTATTTTGAAACATATTTTTTATATTGAAATTGTTATTATATATTGAAGAAGTAGATGATGTATTAGCTATTGAGGAGGTAAAAGAGCTTTGACTTAGATCATAGTCTTGATCAGGGTTGCCAGGTCAAAATTTTTAAATTGCGGGAGAAATATAAAAATTGTGGTTGCTAAAAAAAATTTTTGCGGTCCTTCGGCCGGTATTTTGAATTGACTAAGTTATCCTCCTATAATTTTTTATAATTACTTTATATAAATACAAATATAACTATTTTTCAAAATAAAATAGGTAACTATTTCTCAAAATAAAATAGGTAACTATTTTTCAAAATAAAATAGGTAACTATTTTTCAAAATAAATCTATATTATAATTTTCCAATATCCTCACTACGTCATCGTGACGTCATGTCATCGCTACGTCATGTCATCGCTACGTCATGTCATCGCTACGTCATGTCATCGCCGTCATGTCATCGCTACGTCATGTCATCGTTACGTCATGTCATCTGTACGTATTTATTTTACGTGATACGTAATATATAGCGCTTTTGCCCTCTAGCGTTGAAGATTCAACAGAGCTACGCTAGGTTTTCCACATTTCCATTTAATTGGAACAATTTAATTTGGGTATAAAAGTAAAAATATGAGGAGCCCTCCACACGTTTGTAAGCAATCCGCACGTAGTTGTAGGCACAACATTTCGAAAAATGTTGCTTAAACCTCTACAGGCTTTAATTTAAAAGGAGTGGGACAAAGAAAAAGCCTATACCCAAAAACTACAATATAATTTAATTACTTTAAGGGTGGGCGGTGGATCGTTTTTAATTTAATAATTTTACAAATTTAATACAAGTTTTAGTAAGGAAAATTAAAGAATACTTCCAAAAAAGTTGAATAATTGTTGATAGGGAACCTTTAGATAATGATATGTGAGCAAAGAACTTCAAAAATACGTTTTCATTTGAGGTAACTTTTGATGCGGAAAAGTTTTTTGATGGATCTTTTATTGTTATTAAGTTTTGGATTTATATTTTGTATAGTCTTTTCCCTTATATGTGTACAGCCATGCTATGGCGTCATGAGCTAAATTGTGGTCGGAGTTCCTTATTATATGAGCTTGGAACTGGATACGGCGTTTTTTTACAGTGATATTAATTGGCGTGTGATTAGATTTTTTCCAGAGATTTTGGTTTGATATGACTCATGGATAGAAAATGCAATTAATTGTACGTAGACAATTATTTATAAATGATTGTAATCGTCTCATTTCCATCTTATTTTCTTCCCAAATTTCCCCTCCATATAATAGAACCGGAACAATTGTCGAGTTGAATAACTTCAGTCTGGTAAAAACAGAGACCTCTTTTGTTTTCCAAATTTTCATATACTTGTAGAAGGTTCCGCTCGTCTTTTGTATTCTTATCGTCATTTCCTCTTTACCACTACCCTTGTTGTCTAGTGTTACCCAAGTATCTAATTTTATCTACAACCTTAATTATTTTTCCTCCAAAAGTAAGATTGTCCATTGGTGAAGCATTTGGGGAGGGGAGAATAACAGTTTTTTTTAAATTTATTTCAAGCCCAATTCTTTGACTTAGTGTCTCTAGTAAGTATAATAAATTTTTGGTTTCATCTATGCTCTTGGAGATAACAACAATGTCGTCGGCATAAGATATTATTCTGTTAACAAAGGATATGGACTTATCAGATCTTAGATCAACTAGATCAGCTGCCCCTAGTGCTTCTCTTATAACTTTATTAATTATCATGTTGAATAGGAGTGGTGATAGAGTACACCCCTGTTTTACTCCTTTTTTAATTCTAAAGCAGGGAGATATTTTATTGTTTATTCTAAAACACGTCACTAATTTAGAGTAGTGGTTTTTTAAGATGAGGATTATTTGGGGTTCTATTCCACATTCAGCCAGCGTATCCCATAGAGCTCCGTGATTAACATTATCAAAAGCTCTACTAAAATAGATGAAAGTGTAATAGGAGGATATTTTGTATTTATAACATTTGTGCATTATTATTTTCAAGGCTAATATTGGTTCTAATATATTTTTATTCGGCCTATAAGCACAAATGTATTTAGGAAAAAGATGGGGCTTCGATTGCACAATTTTATTTTTAATAAGGTCATAAATATTTTAGATACACATGATGTCAGAGCGACGGCACGGTAATCTGTGAATTTCTGTGGGTTTTCAATTTGGGGAAATTACATAAAAACGATTTATTCCATTCCCGGAGTTTTCCCACATTCCCATATTTTGTTAAAAAGGGTCAAAAGGAGATAATCATTATATAAAATACAACGAATGAATGAAATAATTGCAATATATGCTAAACAACATCTAGTATAAATAAAATAATTATAAATATAAATCGATATTTAACACAAGCTAATCCTTCAAAACCTTTTAATAAATTCTTGATGACTCGTTGAAATATTGCTAAAGAAGGACGATATACCAAAAAGGTAGCCTTGTATATTTTAACAATCCTCTATGAGTATTGATTACAAGATATTTTTGACACTCTTCCCCCAATTTAATTTGATATTGAAAATTCCTCTCCTTATCCCAAACTGGCTAATAAATCTTAGATTCTTGATATATTGGGTATGAATGGTCTGCCCTAAAATTATTTTTTTATTTGTTTAATTAATTTATTTATTTTATAAAAACAGATGATCCTATAACTTAAATTTTCTATGCAACTGTAGGAAGCCATATTAAAACCCAAAAGTAATACATTATTTATATTGTTGATTTTTTTATTTATTTTATACAAACAGATGATCTTATAACTTAAATTTTCTATGCAACTATGGGAGGCCATATTAAAACCAAAAAGTAATACATTATTTACTAAATATTTTATTAATATTTTATATCTCTAGGCTTGGGAAATTTTTTTCAAAAATAATGTAACGGAGGCACAATATTAAAAAGCATATAATTAAGGAATCATATAATTAAGGAAGCATATAATTATAAAAAAGTTTATCAAGCCCAGCTACCCTTAATAATTTGTAAAAGATATTCCCATGTCAGGTGCAAGCTAATATTAATTTTGAGGTTCCATGCCCAGTCGTATTCAATATAATTTTGAAAATTTTATTTAAATTTTTAATTGATTTATTATCACATAAAGGGTAAATATCTGATTTACCAATTAGTTTAAAATGTAAAAAAAAACATAATTAATAATAGGGCAGACTTTATTTTGTCATGATTTTCTTTTATACCAATGTTTATACATAGGAATGTAATACATTATTTACTAAATAATACAAATTATTAAGAAAGCCCATCAAAAATGACGGGAATGAGATTTTTATTCATTTTTTACGATGTGTCATGCCAGGGCTCACATTAGGAAGCATATAATTATTAAAATGTTTATCCAGCCCAGCTCAACCCTTAATAATTTTTAAAAGATATTCACATGTCAGGTGCAAGCTAATATAAATTTTGAGGTTCCAAGCCCAGTCGTATCCAATATAATTTTGAAAATTTTTTCCCACCTCGGAGATAGTTATATTTTTATTTGATTCATCATCACATGAAAGGTAACTATCTACCCATTAGTTTAAAATGTAAAAAAAATAAAATAATATTAGGGCAGACCTTATTTTGTCATGATTCTCTTTTATAACAATGTTTATACATAGGAAAGTAATACATTATTTACTAAATATTACAAATTATTAAGAAAGCCCATCAAAAATGACGGGGAATTAGATTTTTATTTATTTTTTACAATAGTGTCATGCCAGGTCCAAGCTCACAATATTAGGAAGCATATAATTATTAAAAAGTTTATCAAGCCCTGCTCAACCCTTAATAATTTGTAAAAGATATTCCCATGTCAGGTGCAAGCTAATATTAATTTTGAGGTTCCATGCCCAGTCGTATTCAATATAATTTTGAAAATTTTTTCCCACCTAGGAGATAGTTAAATTTTTAATTGATTTATCAACACATGAAGGGTAAATATCTGATTTACCCATTAGTTTAAAATGTAAAAAAAAACATATATAATATTAGGGCAGACCTTATTTTGTCATGATTCTCTAATAAGTGCTTTGTTCGGGCTTTCTCAGTTTCCCTTATTACCAATTCACATGATATTTTTCAAAATTAGTGCAACTGTAGGAGGCCATATTAAAACCAATCCGAATTATAAAAACTTAGCCAACACGTATGACATACCCGTCGACGATGTTAGTAGTATGACCTAGAAAAAAAGAAAATATACATTTATCATAATAAACTCTAATATGGTCTTTAATCTTGCTATTCTATATTCTGCTATTGTAGTCTCAATTGCACAGGAAAACCGAACCCCAATGATATCCCTTAATTTAAATCTACCGTTATTTATAATTCGATATCTCAAACAAAGAAATTATTGTCACAAATTTACAAACTTCATGTTTTAAAATTTAAAAACATACTGTCAAATATTAATACCTATCAATCAATTTTCAGTTTAATTAGACTATCACTATAATGGTAAACAACGAAAAAATTATTGATAAATTTGATAGATACATAAATAAAGTAAATATAGTCACTACCAATGAAGATAAAGTCTACAAGGATGAATGCATTTTTTGTTATGATACTTCAGAATGTGCAGATGGTTTATTCATATGCATGGATACTTTCTATGGCTTTGACAAAGATCATGTAATTATGTTTTATAAAGCAACTGGTAGAACAATTTATTTAAACATTAAACGTTTTGCGATTGAAGAAAAAACACAAAAAATTAAAGTTAAAAAAATGGCGATTGGTGTTGAGGATGGGTTTCAAATAGATAAAAATATTAAATATGAAGATCATTATGCTCTAGTTTTATTACCTGATTTTGAAACAATTCAAATAAATAATTTATCAATTCCTGCAAAAATTTATAACTCAATACAAAGTATTATAAAAGCAGAGCCAGCATTAAAGCTAACAGAATCAGAATTAAAAAATTTTGAGTGGAATGGGGAACAAAGACAAAAAACTAAACATACTAATCTTTTTCAAATTTCTAATCCTCCTAAGCCATCACTCAACAATTCCCAATGTCAAAAATGTGATGTAAAAGAAAACTTGTGGTTTAACCTCTCAGATGGTTCCATAATGTGTGGTAGAAAAAATTTTGATGGAACAGGAGGCAATAATCATGCAGTTGAACATTATATATCTACTCACTATCCATTAGCTGTAAAAATTGGAACTATAACCGAATCTGGGGCAGATGTATATTCATATGATGAGGATGATATGGTTGAAGATCCAATGTTAGAATCACATTTGGCTCATTTTGACATCAACATGAATGAATTACTTAAAACAGAAAAAACCCTCTCAGAACTTGAAATTGAAATGAATGAAAATTATTTTGAATGGAATGCTATCCAAGAGTTGTCAGGAAATTTAAAGCCCATATATGGTCCTGGTTTTACTGGTATTTATAATCTGGGAAACACATGCTATATATCTTCAATTATGCAAATGATATTTGCATTGCCTTTATTTAAGAGCTATTTTTATGACAATTACAAACATTTTATGTTAGGTAATAATATCAAATATTGTTTTTATATATTTACAATACAAATTATATATATGATAAAGGTATGTTATAGGATAGGTCCAAAAATGATAAAATTAAGAGTATATTTTAAAATTTTATAAACAAGTAATTTCCATTTTAACATCTTAATTGGTAAATTTGGTAATTAAATATTAATAAAACAAATTATATCTCATGGATATAGTAATATAATAGTTTTAAAAAGTAGTGCCTATCCTCATTTATTATCTTTATTATGATTTCTCAAATTTAAGATGACTGTTTATTAAATAAAATGTCATCAGGAACATTAGTTTATAATCTAAGGCAGGGATCTGAACTGTAACTAATATTGTTTCAGGCTTGGATTCAGGCTTTTTGTAAAATTAATATCAGTTTGATTTGATCTTTAAAAACTGGTTAAACATTTTTGTATACTAACTTTTTACAATTTTATTTTTAAAACTGATGTTTAGCAACTAGAGTATCTTATTATTATTATTCATATAAATATAATTGATGTCATACAATTAGAATATTATTATGATTATCTTCTACAACTTTTATGCAGAAATGTTTTTTTTATGTTTTAAAAAACTTCTTATAAGCTAGCTTGGGCAGCTGGACTATCAAATTCCTAAATACAAAAGCATTTCGTTGAAATTTCAAAAGATTCACAGCCATATGAAATCTAATTAAATACCTTCAAATGGGCATGACTAAAATACGCGTCTCCGAAAACTACGCGTCCCCGGTTAAACGGGTTTAATTTATATAATATTAATAAAAAATCGTATTTAGCTTTATAAGATGAGTTAAAAAATGTTTTTTATGATTTTAAAAAAAAATGATAACTTATTAAATTTTTTAAAAAATTATTTTTTTACATCAAAAAACTACGCGTCCCCGGTCAAGATACATATTTTTTTTTAAATAAAAGCAGATTCATATTTAGCTCATTAAATGAATATAGAAAATGTTTTTTATGATTTAAAAAAAATTGATAACTTAGTAAAATTTTTAAAAAATATTAAAAACTACGCGTCCCCGGTCAAGATACATTTTTTTAAAAAAAATAAAAGCAGATTCATATTTAGCTCATTAAATGGATATAGAAAATGTTTTTTTTGATTTAAAAAAAGTGGTAACTTAGTAAAATTTTTAAAATACTAATTTTTGTACATAAAAAAACTACGCGTCCCCGGTCAAGATACATTTTTTTTTAAAAAATAAAAGCAGATTCATATTTAGCTCATTAAATGAATATAGAAAATGTTTTTTATGATTTAAAAAAAATTGATAACTTAGTAAAATTTTTAAAAAATTATTTTTTTAAATTAAAAACTACGCGTCCCCGGTCAAGATAATTTTTTTTTAAAAAAATAAAAGCAGATTCATATTTAGTTCATTAAATGGATATAGAAAATGTTTTTTTTTGATTTAAAAAAAAAGTGGTAACTTAGTAAAATTTTTAAAATACTAATTTTTTACATAAAAAAACTACGCGTCCCCGGTCAAGATACATTTAAAAAAAAAATAAAAGCAGATTCATATTTAGCTCTATAAATGGATATAGATGATGTTTTTTTTATTTAAAAAAAAGTGGTAACTTAGTAAAATTTAACACTTTTTTTCTTCATTTTTTACTAAAATACGCGTCCCCGGTCAAGATAGATTATTTTTATAAAAATGAATATAGAATCGTGTATAGTTTTTCAAGGAGATTCCGAAAATGGTATTTATAATTTTTTTTTTTAAAAATTATTTTTCGAAAAATTTTTTTTGACTAAACTACGCGTCCCCGGTCAAGATACATTTTTTAAAAAAAAACAAAAGCAGATTCATATTTAGCTCATTAAATGGATACAGAAAATGTTTTTTTTATTTAAAAAAAAGTCGTAACTTAGTAAAATTTTGAAAAAACACTTTTTTTTTCATTTTTTGACTAAAATACGCGTCCCCTGTCAAGATAGATTATTTTTATAAAAATGAATATAGAATCGTGTATAGTTTTTTAAGGAGATTCCGAAAATGGTATTAATAATTTCGATTCTATATTCATTTTTATAAAAATAATTTAAAAAATGTATCTTGACCGGGGACGCGTCGGGACGCTTAGTTTAATCAAAAAAAAATTTTTTAGAAAAAAAAAAAAAATATAAATACCATTTTCGGAATCTCCTTGAAAAACTATACACGATTCTATATTCATTTTTATAAAAATGATCTATCTTGATCTGGGACGCGTATTTTAGTAAAAAATGAAGAAAAAAAGTGTTTTTTCAAAATTTTACTAAGTTACCACTTTTTTTTATATAAAAAAAAAACATTTTCTGTATCCATTTAATGAGCTAAATATGAATCTGCTTTTATTTTAAAAAAAAATGTATCTTGACAGGGGACGCGTAGTTTTTAATTTAAAAAAATAATTTTTTAAAAATTTTACTAAGTTATCATTTTTTTTAAATCATAAAAAACATTTTCTATATTCATTTGAGCTAAATATGAATCTGCTTTTATTTTTTAAAAAAAAATGTATCTTGACCGGGGACGCATAGGGACGCGTAGTTTTTTGATGTAAAAAAATATTTTTTTAAAAAATTTACTAAGTTATCATTTTTTTTAAAAATCATAAAAAACATTTTTTAACTCATCTTATAAAGCTAAATAAGATTTTTTATTAATATTATATAAATTAAACCCGTTTGACCGGGGACGCGTATTTTAGTCATGCCCCTTCAAATTGATAGAATATTTTAATCTTATTTGCTTACAATCATATCTTTAGCTACCAAAGTTTAATTTTCATATATGAAAATAATTAAATTCGCTTACGAATTACTACATGTTAAACTTGTGCTATGAATGAAATCCGCTGAGATTGATCAGCTGTTAATTTGGGTTGGCCTTAACTACTAATCCAGGGTATTTGTAATTTAGATAATTTATGATAGAGATTGACTTGGCCCTCCTTGCCGACCCATCTATAATTTTCATGAAATTTATTTAAAGTTTCCTGGCCTGTCCATAATAATTTTGCAAGGATCTTTTTTAAAATTTATTCATAAAAGTGCATATATAATTTTATAATAATTTAACATGTAAACCTAAACTGTTTTACAGTTTTTTTGAAGTAGATTTGAAATTTTTAATATCAAGCTAATATTAATATTGGGGTTTTATAATCAAGTTCATATTGTTGTTAACCAATAAAACTAATATTTTATATTGTATTATGCCATTAAATAAAATTGTCCAATTTTATAATATTGGCCTATTTATAATATCAGCCTCACATTATAACAGTAAAAACATAAAATGTGATTTTTAAAGAAATCGATGTATTTCTATTCTAGATATACCACCATACTTGAATCAGAATAGCACCGATTTTAAGAGTATGCCAATTTTTTCAAAATACTGACCTCTGCCGATTTTTATATTTAAGAAGTATTCTTTTAATATTTAAATATAGTATTAAAGTATTCTTTTTCGAAAAATTGACCTGTAACTAATAACTTTTATATTAAAATCTAACTATTAACTATAGCAAATTACTTTTTAAGTGTGTAAATGTAATTTGTTTCCAAAGGCCACTACAACATTATAAATATTGTAAACACATCTTACTTAGACATAAAATTATATTTAATGCACTATTTTCTTTCAAATCAATCACTCATTTAAGGTAGTCTCTCGGACACACTCCACAACTTTGATGCCCAAACAGCAAAACTTGCTTATGGTCTTCTCTCAGGTAAGTATTCCAAAAAACCTATCGCTATTCCTTTTCCTCCCAACTTGGACAGCGAAAATTATCCAAATTCGTCTATGATTTTCTATCAATCCACATCTCTTTTGGGCATCAAGCCTCGCGCTTTTAATTTCATAGTAAAACGTGGTCACACAGAGTTCGCTAATAGTCGGCAACAAGATGCCCACGAATTTTTCCTGCACTTAATGAATCAAATTTCGCGACACCATTACGCTGATAAGCAACTGAAGGGTGTCTTAGAGAGTCCTTCCAAAGGTTTCGATTTTATGCTTGAAGAAAAATGGTGGGCTAGTGATAATCATGATTCAGCTCGTTTGATAGATAGGCGAGAAAATTATATATCCTTAGCTATCCCCCCTACTACCATCTGCCAACAAAAGGTCAGAATTGAATACAACAATGAACACGAACTCGATTTGAGAAAAGAGGGAGATCCTGGAAACCTGCTAGATATTGGTGGCTCCAAACACCCTCATAAAACACTCACTAAAATCCCATTTTCTTCACTTTTAGAACATTATTTTGCCGCCGAACAAGTTAACACTAAAGATGGTGAGGTGCGTCCAATCAAAACGGTAGGATTCAAGACCTTTCCACAGTATCTATTATTGCATTTAAAAAAATACACATTTGAGCGCGATGGTAATTCTTGTTGGCAACCCAAAAAACTCGAGGTCAGCATCGAAAACATTCCGGAAATTTTGGATTTGGAGCGTTATAAAGCCACGGGCTTGTTACCCATGGAAATTTTAAACCACGAGAAGGAAATAGACAAGTTACATAAAAATAAAATGAATAGCTAATTATTTTTTTTTAAATCTAAACTAATCCTTTATATTCAAATTTATTCTTTTATAATCATCTCGTGTTGAAACCCTTCTTAACCCTGGTCTAGAGACTTCTAACCCCCGTAAACCAATACCCTACCATATTAAAAGCAAATAAATTATATCCATGGAATGTCCTCTTGGAATAAATCTTACATTTGGCAAGGTTTAACTCAGGCTAGTGTAGGTTGAAAGGTCATTTGTGTTTTCCAGAATATACATGATGCTGAAAACCTACTTAGTTTGTTAATTGTTTTTAGCCTATAACAATCACCTTAGCTTCGGTTTTTTGAAAATATAGCTCCACTATACCTTAAAGAAAATAGAAAAAAAATTAACCCTCGCCACAAGGCTTAGCCGATTACCTTTGACATGCCAATGTGGATTAGGTCGAATTAGCCAATATTTACCCATTACCCAACTATTTTCTTACCATTATATCATCGTCAAAATACGGTGAAAGGATTGATTTTATTTTAGCAATTATTTTGTGAATGCCTATGCAAATAATAGCAAAATTAGGCCTGCAATGGGTTGCCCACAAACTCATCCGGCATAAACACTTCAACCAACCTGTTCACGTTGGGAAAAATTGTACCAACCGCCATTCCATTGGTTTAAATGATTTTCTTTCTACCAGCATCAGTGTAACCATTTTGCGCCAAACTAAATATCAGTAAACATAACTGTTTTTGTGTTATATTATAAGCAATTAGAATAGTTTGGCTAGCCAATATCAAAATGGAAATTCTGAAACTCGACCCAATATTTAATCCTTAAGTTTGATCTTCATATGCCTGGAACCGATTTGAACATAATGGACCATTTATGAGTTTTGAACCAAATAATAAAATTTAAAAAAATTATAATATATTATAAATATCAGGGATCCGGAACAACATCTTTGCCTTTCTATCAGAGACCTTGACGGGCCCTGCGGCCTATTATTATTTTCTAGCTGGCCTTTTGATTTTTTTTAATGAGAAATTTCTATTTAAATTTAGCTTATTTAAAACATTGTTAATAGTGATGCAAATCGCCCCATTTTAGTCGATTTTTAAAAACAGCTAACTCAATATTTTTGGCAGAAAAAATTTTCTTCCTTAAAATTTTGCTAATAGATGTCCAAACCTCTGCCATCGATAAACAAAATCTTTAGGCTTGCGTAATATTTTTCTGGATAAAATACTGAAAGCCAATTTTTAAAATCGGCTCAAACGGAACGATTTTGCATCACAAGTTGCTAACTTAAAAAAAATTATTACTATTTTTTTCTTCTAACAATAATAAATTTCAGAACCATTGCCTAAATACACTGAAATATTGTTTATTTTCATTGAATACAATATATTAAATATGGGCCGAACTTATAAAAAATTATTTCTGCGGCCCTGTAAAAAAATCCAGGCCACTGAATGAAGGTTGCTGGTCCTCATTCCAGTCAAATAAACAAGTTTCATATTCCGGAAGGTGCTCCTAAAAAAATATATTTGTAATAATATTTACTCAATATTCGGTAATCTTTATATCATACAAACTATTATATCTAAATATTAATTAACACATTTTCTATAAGATTATTATTGTGCGTTGTTGGATATTAATTAAATTTGAGCATATAAAAATTTTATTCAACACTCATTGGATGTTAATAACGAAATTATTCATTACAATTTAGAACTTTTATTACATTATATTAATTTTATTATAATAAAACGGATAAAATAAATTTGATTTAAAATGGTAATAATTAATGGGTAATAACTTGGTTATGTTAAGCAAAGTTGGTATTAAAAAAGAAAAACCAATATTTGTGAATATGCCATAATAATTATTTATAATTATCTTATAAATAAATGGAAAAATTTCAATTGTTTGAATCCCCGTTCCTTTCAAAAATCCAATCGATTTACAAATTTTAATTATATAATATATTTATTTTTTTCACTCCCCTTAAGTAATAAGGAAGAAGAAAATATTCTATTTAGCGATATGGTAACTCAGAATAACCTTGTTGGGGACGATTATCATGCTCATCTCGATTACAATGTTATAACACGTAATAGTCTGTTAATTATTTAAATCATGCAATTTTAAGTTACCCTTTTATGTGATACTTGATACCGATATACCCACCCCCTTCCATTTAAAATATAAATATGATCAATTTTATTAATTATAAATACCATATTTTCTTTGTAAAGGTTTCCTCTAATAAAATTTTATGCCTAGATTCTTCTTCTAACTAAAACAAGCCTTCATTAATAAAAAATATTTGTATTCACTTTGGTCAGATCAATCCTGTTCTAACCCTGAAGCCCTCATACTCAAAAACGAGATATCTAAGGAACTCCTAGCCATGGGTTTCTCTGTCATCGCCATAAATGCAGCGATAGCTTCTCAAACCGAATCCCCCGCCATCACTATCGAAGCGGTTCTTAACTCCCTATTAACATCCCAATCAAAATCCTCACCTGAATATTTCCAAACCTCTCGCTCTACCTTGGAACATGTGAACGTTATAACCGATATGGGGTTTAGCGTAGAGAGGGCGAATACCGCTTTGGACCAGACCGAGAACGACCCCGAACGTGCTCTCGATTGGCTATTCAGCCACCCTGAAGAAACTGGGATTCAATCAGTCACCGTAAAGTAAAATAAAGTTTTTTGTTTGTACATTCGTAATACATACTGTACTTGTTATTCAATAAAAGAAAGATGTCAATTACTGAAAGTATGATTTAAAAGAAAGAAGTTAATTTTAAAAATGACAATCGTTAATTTTTAAACATTTATAATGATTTTATATTTTTCATTATTATTTAAAATTGTCAATCTTACCATAAATCTGGTGGAATTCTTGATCTAATAATGGGATAGATTTAACCATATTTCTAAAAATATTAAAAGCTTTCATCACTTCTAATAAAATATTTTTTATATTTTCGCTTAAAGATTTTTCAAATATCTCCCTTAAAATAATCTTGTCTCTTTCAATAAATTGTATATTTATTCTTAATATAGTTCTATCTAATCTGGTAACACAATCAATCTTCATTGAATGAAGACTTCCCCAAACCTGATTTATTATTTGATCTCGTATTCTACTAGCAGTTTCAGGAACTTCATTTCTTATATAAATATCATTAATAAGTTTCTTCCTACTCTCTTAAGTATTATAAACCCACTGTTACTTTTAATGGCCGCCTATTTATTGTTACCATTTCAACTAGTGTTGTTAATTGGCTCGTTTTGAGCCGATTTTTAAAAACGGCTAACTCAATATTTCGTCCAGAAAAATATTACGCAAGCCTCAAGATTTTGCTCATAGAAGGAACAAAGGTCTAGGCATATATTATCGAAATCTCGAGACTTAGGCAATATTTTTCTGGCTAAAATATTGAGTTAGCCGTTTTAAAAAATCGGCTCAAAATGAGCCGTTTAACAACACTAATTTCAACTATACCTTAAATTATTTGCTTTTATGAAATTAAAATTGTTTAGATTTCATTTTATAATCTATCTTTAATTTACTCCGTTTTTTCATCATTTATGCTATTTAAAAGAATGAAAAAAATTTAAAAGAAAAATTTGAATAAAATAAAGATGCAAAATAGGTAATTAATTAATTTCTTTTTTTTAAATGATAAAATGAAGATATGAACCCTTTTTTCCAAGGATTTTGATTGTTATTTTCTCTCGTATTAACATCTATAATGTTGTGACTATAAGCATTGCGAAGGATAATTTCTTTTTTTGTGTGGAAAACCCAAACCCTTTAAAATGAGCAATATAATAAAATTTATTAAATTTACAATACATTTGATAATCTGTATATTTTTTAATTTATATTTTAAATCTATTACGTTTAGGGACAAAATTTTGAATAATTCCGGCAGACATGTATTCCATGACCATATTCGTGTGCAGATTGACCAATCAGTTAATAGCCTCCAATCCGATCAGTCAGAGCAAAGTGCTGAACATATAACGAATCATATCCACCATTTAGATCCCGCCGAAAGTACCATATACCGATTGGTCGGATTTGTGAGTCATGTTGGCAGTTCTTTGAATTGTGGACACTACGTATGCCACATAAAGAAGGACGGAGACTGGGTCATATTCAACGATTCTAAAGTTGCACTTTCCAATAATCCACCACTCAATTTGGCGTACATGTATTTTTACGAAAGGGTACTACTATAAGTTTAGTCAATTGTCATTCATATACTTCACACCTATCGTTTTTTTAAATATTAACTTTTCGCCTACTTTATTCTTTAAGATTTCGAATAAATTTGGAAAGATTTTATTTTATGAAGCTTATACTAATTTTATCCATGAAAGAAAAATATGAACGCGATACCCGTTGTTTGAGCCTGATTGATATGTCTTTTATTATTTAAAATTGAATAAAAATGGCATTAAACATTAATAATCTCGTTTAATATCCTATTTTTGGCTTATATTGATATTTTATTATATGAATATTGTGAACCTTGATCGAAATAATTAACATTCATTTTTAATTTCAACCAAATAAAATAGTTTTGCCTTTAAGCATAAAATCGCTTAAAATACCTTTTTAAAAAATTAGCTTTCTTTTCTTAAAATTTATACTTTGAATCAGGGAAGGACTGGCCAGTAAGCCTAGTGGAAAAATCTCCCACGGGGCCTCTAGATTTTACAAATTTGGGGGCCTCTCCTTAATAAATTACAAATTTGGGAGCCTCTCCTTAATAAATTACAAATTTGGGGGCCTTCTTAGTAAAGAAATTTTTTTTTTAATTATTGGCATAAAATCTAAATATATTTTAATATAAATTTTTTTAAATATTAGATATTTAAAATATTAATTTAATTATCTGGTGGAATTATAGGCACTATAAAAAAAATTCATTCATTCATTTTATTTAAAATTTATGTTTGTATATAGAAAACACATTATTATTATTGAAAATGAACCAAAATGAAAATAATAAACAATTGAAATTCACTATTTTAACCCAGTACTAAGTATAAGCATTAAGAAAATTTCTGCCCCCCCTCCCTCCCAGCTAAAATGAATCATATTTTTCACAAACATAATCCATTGTAAATGTTTAAGGATTTTTCTGGACTAGAGTGGAATCTTTACTTAAATATATTGATTATTAATTATCCTATCATTCAAACATAACATCAACATTTTATCTGACTTAGATCATTAATATAAAGAAAAAATATATAGATAACCTTGATAATTATTTTATAAAATATAAATTCTAATTTTAAATTAAAATCTATATTTTTTTATATTATCATGCATAAAAATATTTAGTAAAAAAAGATAATACAGAAGTGGAGCAGAAAAACTTCATGATAAATATTGTAAACTTAAGATAGGTGGTGAAAATCCAAAACAGCAAAAGTTGTCTTTTTTCAATATAACAACTACAAACTTATCAAAAACATCGTCATTTCTTGAAGCTTCTTTAGACTCTCTTTTATGCTCCATAAAAGGTAATAATACAACATTGCCTGATATTGTAATTAACACCATAAAAAGTCCACATAAATTACATATAAAAAATATTCATCCATCTTAATGTTTATTACAAGTATCTTCACCCATTATAAATTTTGGTTCATGTTCTAATATAACATTTGATTTTTCTCAACCACAAAAAAAATTAGCATATTTATTATGCTCAGAGACTTCAGATTCTTCTTTACCTATACATGATAATACAATTTCACCAAATATTCCAATATAATTTCTTTCAAATGATAATAGCATTCCTATTCTATCCCTAACTTAAAAGGAAACTTCATCTTTATCTACATTTCAAATACCTTCATCTTTATCTAAATTACAAATACCTTCATCTATATCTACATTACAAATACCTACATCTATAAATTCTAATCGAATATCTGGCTTTTCATGCACAGAAGCAGCAAATTTAAAGAAAAAGATCTCACCTGTCAAATTTATTTCATTTAAATCCAAATTTAACAATTACAAAAACTTGCCTTTTTACAGCAACATCCAATCCAACCTGTGGTCCTGAGACTAAATACATCGCGTTTGTAATAGAGTAGTTATGGAAGATAAAGTACCGTGAAATTGGCTTTCAATTGCTATAATTGATCATGAAATTAAAGCTATTTACCAATTTGTATAGCTTTTGCTGGTTATGAAAATTCATTTTCAAAAGAGTGCACCAATTTTATATATATTCTAATTCATGAAAATCTGTTCATATCCAAGCAATGGAATACTTTCTTAAGGCATCCAATGACAACAGCATACAAGATTAAGTTAATAATAAACTTAAGCTGGAAAAGCAAAGCAGATTTCAAGTAATACTCATATAATTAAACATATTTGAAATTGTTAAGCTATCAGGGCGTCAAAATATGCCAAATAGAGGTTCTGATTGTAATGAAACCTTATCAAATTTTGAAGATTAAGTTTGAATCATGGAAATTTCCTAGAACTGATACTCACCTATCTAATTATGATCCAATCCTAAATTATCATTTAAATAAATCCATTCAAAGAAGCAAACATAGGAAGAAAAAACTTAACTCTCAGGCAAGTTACATTCCAAGGGAAGAGGTTCCTTAATTATCTTATTATCCAAGACGACCGTTAGCAAAATTATTGATGCAATACGCGCTTAGAAAGCGAATTAAGGAACAATTAGGTAATAAAAGATTCAGCATACAGATGGACAGCACTCAGGATATAAGCATATATGATCAAGCTACAATTTGTTTGCGGTACATTTATAATGGAGAAATTACAGAAAACCTTTGTGCAGTAGTTAAAGTGACTAATTCTTCAGGTAAAGGACTTTTTGATTTATTAAGTTCTTGTTTCTCTAAACAAGGGTTACAATTAAATAATATAATTGATGAATCTTTTGATGGTGCAACATGATAAATGAATTTGTTGGCTTGCGAGCTCAAATTAAGCAAAGCAGACAGTATATATATTTGGTGCTATAGCCACATTCTTAACTTATGTTTGTGACACATGTGTTAATCTCGAGGCGAAAAATCTATTTGAATTAATAAATAGGCTTGCGACATTTTTTAATGAAACTTATAAATGAATGGAAGTTTGGACGAATGCAAGTGTGAATAACCCGCTTATTGGTTCAAAAAAATTAAAAAGGCTTAAAAAATTGGGGAAACAAGATGGTGGGCACGCGAGAAAGTAGTTTTTGGATGTTTAATGAAAAATATGGGCTAATATCTACTACAATAAGTGCCTTACATTATATATATAATAAAGATTCTTTTGATGCAAAAACGACTTCAGAAGTCACGGCTTTATTAGAAAAGCTATGCAAATTTAAAACCCTCCTAACGGCACAAATTTTTTTGAAAATTTTTAAAATAATTGGGCCTCTATCAAGATATTTATAAAAAAAACCTTGACATTTTGACTGCCTGGAAAATGGTTGAAGATTCTAAATTTTCTTTTAATATAAATTTCCTCTCAATACATATGGAAGCTACAAATATGGCATTATCAATCAATAAAGATATGGCCATTTGATGATACCTGATGACATATGCATGGAAACTGAAATACCGCCTGGGGAGAATTAATCGTAAAAAAAGATGTGTTTTGAGGAATGCTCAGGTGAAAGTCCAAATGACTCTTTTCAAATTCACAGAATTGATGTTTTTCGCGATATCATCGATAAGATATTAATTAGTTTTACAGAGAATCTTCGAAAAAAAATGATGCTCAATATTTCCATCAAGAAGTTTTGATAAAATTAATAGATATAACAAAAGAGGCTTTGAAAAGAATCTTTTCATTAGCAAAGGTAGATAGGGATAAACTGCGAGAAGAACTAATTTTATTCTTTAGAATATATAGCAATTTACTCATTGGCTTGAAGAAGAGTACAGAAAATTTCATCAATCATAGTGATTACACGTCAGACAGTGAATATGAAGAATTTCATTCTATGAAAGAAAGTTGCAATGGAGATTTTTTAAATAAATGCAATATAAAATGCAAACAATGTTTGATATGTGTATATGAGACGTTATTCCGGTATAATATGCATACATCTGCATATACAAATTTATATATATATATGAATATCTACTTACTTTATCTTTTTCACAAGTAAATTGTAAACGAACATTTAGCTAATTAAAAATAGACTGCGAGCAAATATTGGGCAGGATTATTTAGAAGCATTTTTAATGGTGTCGGTAGAAAGGAAATTATTAGAAGAAATAAAATTAAGATTCTTGAATATCTGTGCAAATGTTCACTATTAATGAGAAAATTGTTGAGCTAACCTTGATGGAAATTTAACCTTAATCACAATTTCAGCAAATCCTTTTCTTTTTAAATGTTCAAAACCGATTTAAAAGTAAACGTTTAATAATTTCTTATAATATTCATTTTATATCATTTAGCAATTTAATACAACACAGTATTCTAATTCTGCTTCTTTTTCTGTTTTGGTAATTTACGATATATATAAATTTTAATACAATTAATAATATTCATATTTTACGATATTATTTTATTTTAGCAAAATAAAAAGAAATTATTTCATTTTGTCTCACTCCTATACTTCAATTTTTTAAGACCAAACCTTTTGTGGCATATGAGAGATTTAGTCAAATGCTATCGATTTTGAGCCGTGCACAACAATATAATATTATTGCATCAAACTCACTATCAGCAGACCATTGCATTAACAACAGTTTGCATATTTTACTTCTTTTTTTTAAAATATATTACATTTTTATATTATTAGATTTCGTTTATTATAAAAATATTCAAGAGCTTTTATTTAATACTCATCAATATTTTATTTTTTTGTTCTATATTTTGTTAACTGATTTTTTTCTCCCTTTCATATAAATAAAAAATAAAAATATATATAAAACAATTAAGATTTAGTAAATATATTACAAGAAATAATAAGAATTATAATATAAAATTTTCCTAATATATAAAAAATATGGGAAGATTATTTTAAATATTTATTATGGATTGGCTTGTCGGCCATTAAATGAATGAAATAATATATGTAATAATCACAAAAGTTCATAAATTAATGAAGAATAATGCATTCAACTCAAAGGACGAGTAATTCTTTTAAAAAGATCATATACAGAAATATTAAAAAGATAAAAATTATTTTAAATTTTAATATAGTATAGTAGATTTCAAATAAAATATTATAAATCCCGGCAGTAGGCTGGGTAAAAGTGGGCCATAGAGGCCTATCTTAGAAATCTCCCACAGGGCCAGTCTCCCAGTCCGCCCCTGCTTTGAATAAAATAACTTGAGATTAATCAGAAAATCGATTGCTCAAATTATGATAAACTAAAAATTATGTAAGAGGAATATTGATTCAATTTACAAAAAAATAATGATTGCACAATGAAATTGAGCGGTAGTTAGTAATTATTTTCATATTTTTAAATATTTGTCTCCACTTTCAATTTTAA